AACAACAAATCACATGAACACGATGAACAACACAACTCCAAATTAATGGAAATAAATCAACCATATCGGGAACCAATCCTGGTTAATTTAGACCATCAATAGATGAGCAAGGATACAACAATACAAACAACAAAATACATGATTCAAACTAAATCAACAAATCAANGATGCAAAAGATGCCTGTTTTTTTGTAATTTTTAATTTTTGTAAAACTAATTTAATTACTAACAATTGTAGAATTAAATCCTACATGCAAAATGCGACATATTTTTGTATATTTTTTATTAATTTAACAAATAAACAAACACAGACAAATACAAACAATTATCCAAAAATATCATAAAATCTCACAAAATTGCACACCAAGGAAAATTATTTTATTTGAATTTTTTGGGAGTGATTCTCATATAGGGCAAAAATCACGTGCTTACANCACCAAGGAAAATTATTTTATTTGAATTTTTTGAGAGTGATTCTCATATAGGGCAAAAATCAGGTGCTTACACTAGCTAGTTTCATTAGATCAGTCAATAGAAGCACTTTTTTATCTTATAATGACAACCAGGTAAATGTAACATAGAAAAGCTGGTTAGTTTTCCTTCAGAATATTGTGAAAACTTTCGACTAGGTATAGCTTTCCGTTTTTGTAGTAAAAAAAGCTTATGCACCTAGCTAAGAGTCTTAACCTTGTCCTTGAAATAATGCTTGCGGCCACAATAATTAACCATAAAAAGAAGAGGAGATTGTAGCTAGATAGAAAATTAATCAGCAGATGTAATTCAAAATCATACGAAGTACAAAACCATGGATCTACAAAAGCCAATCGAACAATAAGGTAAACGTCTGAGTGTCTGGGACGACAAGACACTGTAATCCTGCTATTAATACGGATCAAAATCAACCGACCAGTGTAGTGTAGAGTACCACCAGAGGCGTGCATTAGGCCTTGCCTTTTCCAGCTTGGAGAGACTGAATCTTTTGTTGTAACTTCAGAATCTGGAAAATGACGAGTATAACAACAAACAAATGAATCAGGGCAATACAAATAGTGGACTGAACTGCACAAGGCACCTAATGACTTTAGCAGAAAGCAAGACAAATCACCAAACAAACTAGATTTTTTCAATATCTGATATTAAATTTTCAAACCAAAGCCTCAATATACATCGAAATCATAGTAATACAGTTCAGCTCCCCAAGCGACTGGAGTTGATAACACAGTATTCAAGGGGATTCAGTAAATGATCAGGAGATACATGAAAATAAAACAGAGGACGAAGAGTGAAAAATATTGATGTAAATAAATAAGGAATTTGTCAGAAAGAGCAGACATGAAGTAACAGGTCTTTAATTTTCAAACTACAAGTGCAAACTACAAGTTTATATCGATAGGAATATTTGTTTTCTTTGTTCATACTAGCAAAACATAACAGAAGTCATGCACTAAACGTCTTAAATCTGATTCAGAATCCCTAAGATTGTTAAATAAGACTTATGCCTTACACCGCAGTCTCAGCTCCTTCCCAAGATAAAGGTAAAGTAGCTTATCCAACAGAGAGTAAGAAGGCCATTTAGATGGTGTTTTGACTACAATATAAGAGCTCTACTTTGACTTGATCTCCTTAGCCTCTTGCTACGTCCTCCACAATCATGAAAACAGTTAGCAAATATAAAGTTTCTAATCCTGGACATGATTCGAAGGAATTCGAAGAACTGGCTAAATGGAAACAAATAATAAAATACGAAAATGAATGATGTGGAAACCCAGTGTGAGATCTGAACATGCTTTAGCAACAAGTGATTTTTCAGGTACAAATGTCTATCTGGGTCTTTCCTTATTATTGCTGACAGAATTGAGCAATCACTACCCAAATAACAATTAAACAGGTTTGAGCATGTTGTAAGAGTTGGGAAATAACTAATTTTTTAACACAAGTAGAAAATCTAGAGAGCTCAGTAGACTCTCTTGATTCAATGTATAGGCGACAATGGCGGACACACGTATACTTTACCAATGACAAATTAATCGTAAATTGATTCGGAAACAGAAAGGAGTGTAGTTTCTCTTTTAATGTAAATTTCGACCAAGAAGTTCCGATAAAATAATTAATAATGCTATCTGCAATTTGTTACTCCATAGTCAGTGTAAAGCAGCAAATTTTAGACAAATGTGCTCATACAATGAATAAAGTCTAAGGCACACAAACTTTTTCTTCATCATTACAATTTTCCTTGTACTTCTTAAAACATCAAACTGATAGTCATCGTAAAATGTGAAAAATAATAAGACAATACATAAATTGAGAAGTGAACCAACCGTTTCCTTTTTGCTGTTTTGCTTTTCCTCCAAGTCTTGAAGAGTACTATCTAATCGCTTTCTGTTGAATGATAGAATGAGAGTAATCATTACATGACCAAAAAACCGTAACAACTAACAAGAACTACTGAAGCAGCAAAGGAAAATACATGTTCTATTATCTACTGACTACCATCTGCTGCTTAAATCTACCTAAAATTTACTAAATACGCTTAGAAATACACACTCTACATATGAATTCCTGGAAAACCAAACAAAAAGGAGCCATGTTCAGCTCATCTATTATATCAGAACAGTGAGTTTACTAGTCCGTTTATGCTTTGCTTTCTGAAACTCCTTCGTGTTTCCTGGTACAAGTCTTGGATACAATTGCCTGTTTGAAGGGTTGGGTTTTGCCAAAGCACTAAAATCTAGGACAAGGACTCATGGATAAAATCATGGACAATGATACGTTACGGACATATAGAATAAATTTATGCTGTATAGCTGTTTAACATCTGTCCTTATGCAGGATATGCATTCGTTCACCACCTTTTTTGAAAAAAGAAGTCCTATTTTCAAGTCAAAAACTGAGGGGAGGGGGGAGTACACAAATTGTCACAAGCCTATTTGGACCATATTCAGTTGATTTGGTTCCCTAAGCATGGCAATAAGTCGAAGGCTACTACATACATAATAAAAGTAAATAGTAATCGTTCAATAGATGAGCTCAGAGTTTTATCTCATTTTTTCTTTCCGCCGGAGCACCCATTACAATAAAACATAGATACGTTATCTTTTTAACTTGACCGATTGCAACAATCACCAAATGAATGGAATACCCAAAAGGGACTAATCCGACAAGCTTCAAAAGCCGCCAGCAAAGCATGGACACGACATTTTTAGGATGATTTGGTAAAAGATCATGACAGAGATGAATATGTTCAGAACCTATATAGTCCTGACTATTTTATCCTCGACATTAAGTCACATAGCTTCACAGGTCTACCTATGTGGAGACTGGAGATACAGCAGCTAAGGCACCATAATTCAAGATTTCCATCTGTTTTTATACGCATTGCCTCCGCGTTCAAAATTCGACTTTCTAAAATCATAAGAGGTTCTAAGTTGTAATGAATGGAACTTTCAATAAAAACAATATCTCAGTGAAGTTCTAGGAGAGGAAAAGAGCTGCTGGCTGCTGGGGCAGTGTAGTCGATCTGCCACTTAGTAGAATCCTCACTTTGTGTCTGTCGGCAACACAAACTTAATGGGATCTGTAATTCTTTCATCAATTAAATAGAATCTCTACAGATTGGATACCAAGGATTCATATAACCAACCCAACTGATTTAGTACAGTTTTTGTACTGCCAACAATAGCTACCAATAGGAAATATAACTAATCACTAGTGCAGCAATAATTTTATTATTTTCCACCTTCCTCCCCTGGGATTCAAGTAACAGCTTAAATAGTGACATGCATGAGAATATCATCAAAAAATGGTGACATGCATGAGAAATGAGCTTCTAGCATCCCTGATAATTTCGTAAGATTTTAAGTCCTTAAAGCCCGCATAGAAAAAATGGCAGATGTGGAAAATACTCTTAAGAACACGTTAATATACAAGTAACCTCGTTTGGAGTATATGTCGGGGTATATATCCCCAGTAATCGACATTTCAATTGCAAAGCCAAAGAGCATAGCTAAGTGACGAATCAATAATGGGGTTCACGGCCAATCTCATCTTAAGCAAATTCAAGCTAAGTTTGTCCTATATATTGTGTTAACTAAAGTTAGTTTATACCTATATAAACCCCCTTACACATCTAGATTGGCTAAGTTCCAACAAAAAACTTCAAGAATACCCACAAGAACTCAAGTTAGGGCTTGGTGTGGAAGAGGTAAATTCTTCGCCCCCTTTTTTAATATAATTATGAATTGAATATTTTTAAGGTGTAGTGAAATAGAAAATACTATTTTATTTAAGTTCTATGCAATGTCTTGAAATAAACTATGTCCAAGCTAAGGCTAAATTGAGGAAGAAGATGAACAGTGTCGGGTTTATATGAACGATGTTTTTTGGGGTTTTCAGTGAAGCGAGTCGACTCCATAACACATATAATAACCGAATCAGAGCTAAAAATCGAGAATCAACATTCAATGGAAAAATATGGATTTTTTGGGGAAACTTTTTGGAATAGGGTTAGACATTTTTATTCATTAAATTAGTATCGTTGTGATACTTGATTGATGAATATGAGTTCATTTATGTAGATTGAAGTCGTTTGGATCGAACAACTCGTTCTTTAACATTTGGAGCTTAAGGTTAGTAAAGTAAAGCGACTTTAAGGTATGCCGAGCTTTAAACTTCTTGTGTGCTTTCAAATTAACTCAACAACTACAACAAAATACCCCGTGAATCCCACATAGTGATGTCTAGGGAAGGTAGTGTCTACGCAAACCTTACCCAAACCTTGTGGATAGGGCTGGGCATATATCGGGTAAAACCAATAGCCCGAAACGAAAAAAGCTTATTGGGTTATCGATATCAGGTTATTGGTTAATGGTTCGATAACAATTGTGTTATTTGACTATTGGGTTATCGGTTCTGGTCTTGGTTTGCCCAATTTTTTTAATAACCCAATAAGCTCTAGCAAATTATAATTTTACTCTTAGGTATATAAAGCCACTTTAGAGCTTCATTCTTTATTAGTACTATGTTTGAACTTCTTAATTTTCAAGGTGTAAAATAATTTTGTGTTGTTTCTACTTTCTACTGTGTTTGGACAAGTGGACTTGAGCAAATCTCTTAATTTCTGATATAAAAGCAGCTTTTGTTTTGGTCCTCTAATATTTTCAATGTTCAGTATATTATGCTAATTGATCCTCCCAGTGGATACTCCCGAATAGCCTGAATAGCCTGGAGTAAGCGTGCCACTATTTTAGAATATGTTATTCTTGCTACAATTGTTGGATAAGTGCATTTAACAATATCAGTATATTTAATGTTTCGCTCTTATGACCCGTTTGGCCATATATTTTGCAAAATATATTTGGGTTTTTTTTTGGCAAATACATGTTTGGCCATAGATTTTATCTACATTTTGGCAAATTCCTAAAACCCAAATTCCAAAACCAGCTGGCCCAAAATATCACTATTATATTTTTTAAAAATTGCCCCAAACTTTTGTATTTTATAAAAGAGCCCACCATTTATTATTTTGTAACAATGTTGCTTCGTCTTCTCGGTTATCTGATAGTGTATTATGTAGTTCATTATAAAAATGATAATTTTGTACCAAATTTATTTATGTTCAGGATTATGGTTTGCGATAATATAATGATTGTTATTGATAAAGGTATTGTTTGGTATTTGTGATAGTTTTTAGAATTTGTGGGTGTAAGTCATGTTTCATGTTTTTTCAAAAAAAAAGTGAAATATGTTTTGAAAACTTATGTCCAAACACATTTTCATCTTCAAACCAAACTTCACTCAAATCAGATTTTTGAAAACAAATTTGAAAATCTATGCCCAAACGCTAGCTTAAACAATATAAAATTGTTGTGTTTGATGAAAAGATTAACAATAGTTCTCCAGTCATTGTTTAGGTGGATGCAAGTTAATATAATGAAGCCATCCTATTTTATTTCATAATCCCATTGATGTTCATTCATGTACAAATATATGAGGTACATTTGAGCATAATTTATTGTTTTATGCAATTGAACAAACCTTTTGATAAGCGTAGACATGTGTCCATGAAACTTTGTTCACTCTTTAGAACATAACCGAAACCTATGTTGCTTGGACTTTTCGAAATGTAGCGGGGTGCATGTCGGATCCTCCAAAAGTAGTATATTTTTAAAGGATCCAACATGGGTGCGGTAACATTTTGGAGAGTCCGTGCAACATTGATCGAAACGGATCAAGGTTATAAGATCAATTAGTGTTATACGCTATGTTCCTCCCTCTAAATTAAGTTATCTTATCGGGTAAACCGATAACCGAACCGATAACAATCGATAACCGATTAACTGATACCCGATATCTTATCGATTCGGATATCGATTTAATATATTTATAAATGGATAACTATGTCGAACCGATAACATTAACAACCAAATCGAACAAACTTATACTTACCCCTACTTGTGGAGATAGAGAAATTGTTTCCAATAGACCCTCGGCTCAGGAAAGTATAAGTACAACAGTAATGAAAAGAAAAATAATACAAGAAACAACGGCAAGTAGCCATGAAAAAGCAACATGAATAACAACAAGAAAGTAAGATGACCGAAATGAAGGGAACGAGAGGTAGTACTAGAAACCTAATACCAACTAAATACGAGAGTACATACTAATATTATCGGTATGAACAAGGAAAACACTAGGCTACCTAATCTATTACCCCAATCCTCGACCTCCACACCTTACTAGTTTAATTAATCAAGTATCTTACACAATTTCGAAAGTTTCCAAAAATTCCATATTCTTCATTAAAGGTCGATTGCCGATTTTTAGCTCCAATTCATTCATTATATGTGTTATGGAGTCTAGTCGCTTTATTAGAACCCCAAACACCGTTCATATACCCGACATTATTCATCTTCTTCCTCAATTTACCCCTAGCTTGGACATAACTCATTTCGAAACCTCGCATAGAACTTCAATAAAATTGTAATTTCTATTTCACTATCCCTTCCAAATGCTCAATCCATAATTATATTCTAGAATGGGGTAAAGAAATCACCTCTTCCACAGTCCACACAAGCACTAACTTGAGTTCTTATGGGTTCTCATAGTTCTTATTAGAATTTAGTCAATCCAAATGTATAATGGGGTTAATACAGGAGTTACCTAACTTTAATTAACACAAAATATTAGAGAAAATTTACCCTGATTTTGCTTAAGATGAGATTGGTCATGATCCCATTAGTGGTTCCACACTTTGCTTAACACAAAATATTAGAGAAAATGTGCATATTCTGACACAAGTAATGAGTTTATATAGAACCACACTAATTGCAACACAAATCTTATTTTTGTAACTTGCTTTCTGACCAAGGAAAGAGATATGTATAAGGGGTTGAATTTACCCCCTTTGCTGGCGATATAGTGTGCCACAAGTTCAACTGGTGTGGCTCTTATGCACTTGGTAAAATATTGTCATATAAACTTTGGCAAAATTTCAATTAGCATGCGATGGGGGTACGATCCATACACCCGATGAATTTCCAATTTTGATTGTTTGTGATTTCTTTTCCATTTTCAACACAATTTAAATATTCATACCCCGTCCATGTACCCCCAAACCATGTTACACGTATATTAACGTGTTCGTAAATATTTTTCCTTTGTGTCATCTTTATTGGCACGCAAAACAATATCTTTAACATTCATGGATGCTACATTCTCCCTCACTTATGCATTTGATACTTTCTTTATGTCTGTATAACTCTTGCACCACCACGAGTGGCCGCCATAACGCATACCTGAGTGTCAGTACTTTGACATTATTCATTTAATGGTGCTAGGTTTAACTGTCAATTAGGCGCAAGACGGTCAACATACGAGCTAGGATTCCTGCAGCTTCATTACTCTTGGTGAACCCAATTTGATATCTTAGGATTCATACTGATGCATTTTCCTTGTCTTCTTTTTGTATCGTGCGACTAAAACTTTATTATTTCGTTCATAGCATCATAGAGGCTCCATAGATGAAATTCGTATTATTTTTGGGTTATGGGTACTCTATGGCATTTGCATGGCATTTTTAGTTATGTCTTGTGATACGATTTGTCTCACTTTAATTCAAATGGTAAGTATCTTGCTTTACACATTTAATATTGTAATTATTTAGATGAATTGAGATACAAGGTTATGAATTGGACATTTAACATGTCATATAGGTTCACTCGATCGGGCGATCCTGGTGGCAGGTACAAGGTATCGGCCAGATCTCACCCCATTTTGGGGTGTGACAGAGCTATGGATTGGAAAGCCAGCAGAAAATTATGTCCTAACTCCAGATGTTTTTACAATCGTAGGATCTAATACAGAGCCCTCACTTACTAAATTATCAGTACCAGTAATTGGGATAAATAAGTATTCACGTCCAACTTTATAACCAAGTGAAAGCCTTTTGTTATTTAGCGGAGCTTGTATCTGTTTATTTTTTTATAAACTTAGCAGAGCTTTTATTAGACTGAAACCACTGAAAATCAAGAGAAAACATTATTTTAAGTTGACAGCTTAAAGAGGACAAGAGGTTAAGCTATAGATTAGCAACTTGAAAGGAAAAGGGAACGGGTAAAAGCTCCTTAGATACAGGTTTTAACAGTTTGGAATCACAATGTAAGGAGCATAGACAATGCCGAGTCAAACACTGAAACAGACAAAACAACTTTAAACGTTAGGGGATAAGCAAGGATAGGAAAAGAACCTGCACTGTTTTATAAAAACTTAATCTACTTTACCTTGCTTCGAATATGTTCTTATTGAGTTCTTAGCCTAACTTATACCACCTCTATGTGATTATGTTCATCGATTGTTCAAGACTTGCCTCTTTCTATCGATATTGCTGACCCTGCATGTTTGCTATGTCTGGTTGCTCTTACTCTATTTATATGTTGAGTATTAAATCATAATTTCCTCTTGATTGATTCTGGATTCCTTATTTTATGGTTTGACTGAAAGTTTCTCTTTTAAACCCTAAAATTCTACCTTGTCTGTCTAAATTAACGGATTCCCCTACCTTATTTGCTATGGTACTTTATTCTTACTAAACCATTTCCTTAATTGGAGTTTTCTGAGCTTAGTCCTAATTGCCTACCCTATACTTACTGAACTTGAATCTTTCTTTAATAGTTATATACTGATTTCTTTCCTTATTTACCACTTGTTCTTACCGTTTGAGTTAATTCCCTTAACTTAAGGGGAGTATTTACCTTGATTACCTGACTGACTGATTCTGAGTTCCTTAGTTACTAATGGAATTTGATTTTTACCTTATTTGCTACCTGCTTTCAAACTATAAATACTTTAGTCTTTCATCAACGCAAGAGACGAACACTCTTGGTTCAAAAACTATCTGTCACACTTAAAAACTTTCTGCTCTCTTTTGTGCTACTTGCTACTGCTCTAAGTTAGCCAGCTGCAAGCCAAGGCTAACCATTTTGCCCTACTGTTCTTTCACTTTGCTTACTCTCCTCTTTACTGGTACGTTTAAATTTCAATTCAAAGTTCCAACAACAATATGATTTTCTTATTGCTTAAGTTCATCCTGTTTTCAGTTTGCTTCTATTTGTGGTTTTTGTTGTGAAACTTGTAATTTATGTTTACGTTTTTATGTACTCCACTTCCTTTAGATCAGCATGTTACCCCTCTGTGTTATTTCTGAACATGTCTGCACCGATTATCTCTATGTGTTAACCACCATGTGTTCCATGTATTCCCAAACCCCTTGAACCGTATTTGTGACTACTGAACCTGCCTTGGTGTTGTGACTCCTGGATGTGTATGAACCTGTCCTAAGGTGTTGTGTTTGGACTTCTGTTCATTTCTTCAATCTCTTTTCAAACAGTCTTTGTGTTTTACTAAATTACCTTCGAACAACCTTCATTTTATACAGTTTTTCACTAAAACCTTTTGTCAATCACTTTCACTCTACTCCTATAATTGAGAACAACATTTAGAGATTAAGAAAGTAGATGAATTATGTTACAGATTGAACTATTCTTTTTCAAATGTTAACAAATAGTATAAAACATCATGGTCTGGTTGATTCTCAAAACACCGTTTAGCATATCAGCTACAACTGTTCATTGCCATAGCAAATTTAGACTGCCATAACACACAACAGCAACCTAAACAGTTTTACTTTGCTACAAGATATCGTGTTCTACAATTTCACCCCCGTCATTAGTTCTTCAGCGCCTCTAATACAGGGAATTTGAATTTAGTCCTAAAAGCACATCACTGTTTCTGTTCTGAAACTATATATATTTGTAGTTCTACTTCCAATAAAAAGATCTGATATGCTATGGCAACTAGAGCAAATCCCAATCATATTTCACATAATCTGCTTAATGGACTATGTCGGTTCTATTTCTTTACTGGACCTCGGTCCAGCAATATTACAGCCAATAAAACCCATATAGAAGACCATCAACTTAGGTACAAAGGCTTAGATATATAAGAAGCACATTGAGTCAAAATATCATGGACAATGTCAAATGAAAGAGGGTATTAAATTAGTATTATTAAGAAATTCCTAAAACTTTAATAAAAAGATTTTGCATAAGCCCTTGCGATTCTTTTACTGATTGAAGAATTAGTAAGAACTACTTTACAACAACAACTGCTACGCCTTAGTCCCAAACAAGCTGGGGTTAGCTATATGAATCATCACTTATCACATTAGTCCATTCAACTATTTCTTAAACTATTTTAATTTTTCGAAAACCTATTAATTGAGCATACAAAACCTCTTCCAAGAAACAACAATCTTATATACTTGCTCAAGAAAGCAACATTACAATCATCAAAGCACATTCAGAAACCACCAATTGCCCAAAAAGAAAAAAAGTCTTAAATCAAAATGAATGACATACAGTTCAGCAGAAATGTATTCAATTCGCTTTTTGACATTGGCTCTTGCCTCAGCCAAGTCCTGCTTCACAAGCACTGGCCCTATCAACTTGTAAACATTCGCATCTTCATTCAATAGATCCAATTCCTACACACCCAACTCAAAAAAAAATTGTCTCAATATCCCAAATATTGCAAAAACCAAACACACCCAAATAAGCATATGAATAATAAAATAATAATAATAATACCTTGAGAACAAGCTCATTTTCACCTAGTTGAATAGTGTACTTCTTTCTGATTTGGTGGTTCTTTGATATATCTGTAAATACATCGCAATTAATATATGAATGATACAGTTTCTTTTAGTAAGAAAACAAAAGGGAGGAGGATTAAGGAAGAAAAGATTATGCCTTTTTGAAGTTTGCTAAGATCGTTGGCTTTGTTTTCTAGGTCACGCTGCAAATCTCGAAGAGCAGCTGACGAGGCCATTCTTTTAACTTCTTCTGCAATTGGGTTACCTTCTCTTGTGTTGATTTGCTCTCTGCTGCTGCCGGAGTTTTGGGGTTTAGGGAAAGGAGTGCGGCGGCGACCGGGAGCGGGTGGATATTCGTGGAGAGAACCGGAGATTTGCTCGTTTATTTGCGGTGTCAATAGTTAACGAGAAAATATAAACATTGTTTTAGTCCTCAATTTTTAGTAGTTGCTCGACTTCAGTCCTTCAGGTATCATAGTTAACATGTGTTGGAAATAGATTGTGTCAAAATAGGCTTGACAGAATTCCATCATTAAAGCGAATAAACTGCTTAAATTTGCACCCCAAAAAAAAAAAGTCAAAGATCACTTTTAGCCAACAGGCCAAGCCATAAAATTTAATTTTTATATAATATATAAAAATACATATTTTTCGACATTTTAAAAGCGACTATATAATATTATTTTCTTGACCCATGTACATCATCCATACATGAAAAATAATTTTCAAAAGGCCACATTAACTAAAGACCCTGATGATGGTCATAATAACAAACAAAAGTCCACTATCTAGGATTTAATATTTTATGAGTTTAACTTTAAAGTTTTTAGCACCGAACATATTATTTTTTAAATATGAGTTCATATTTATTATTTGTTGTAATTTTAATAAACTTTTGTACCTAAATTTATGCTACACATTAAATGTAGTAGGCTCTTATTAGAGATGGCAAAATGGTTAAAAGAAAACAGTTAACCACTCATATTATCCACTAAGAAATAGGTTGGATAATGATTTTTTTAAAAATGGGTCAAATATGGATAAGATCCATATCATACATTTAGAAAATGGATAACCATTGGTCAATGGATCTAACTTTTATATTTGTAAAGCCTCAAATTGGGATTTCAATTTAGGGAAACTAAGAATTCTCCCAAAAGTGATCACATGCAAGAAGTTATGGATAATATGATTACTCATATTATCCGCCGGTTAACCCGTTCTATCCGTATTAAATATGGGTCGGATCGGATAATTTATCCATTTTTTCATACTGTTTTCAATCTGAACCATATCCGACCCGATCTGCCCGTTTGTCACTTGTAGTTCTGATAAACCGGGTACTTCTAAGCTGCATTCGCCCATATATCTACTAGAGGAAAAAAATATCATATACAACATAAATATTGTGTAGATGACATAGGTCGTTACTCGTTAGGAGCGAATCCAGATGAATGCATATAGTCATTCAGACAGAATACATCAAACCATTTGATATAACATATTCAAATGTTTTGATTAGCTTAATGGATTCAACAAGCAAAGACTCACTATAATGTGGGTGGGAAACATGGACATGATGGGGTACTTGTCTCATTTTAAAAATTACCAATCTTATATTTTAAGGAGACTTATATATAGATATCCTCTGGATAATCTAATAATAATAACAATTGACCTAGTGTAATTCAAGTGGAGTCTTGGGAGGGTAGTATATACGCAGATCTTACCCCTACCTTCAAGAAGGCAAAGAAATTGTTTCCGAAAGACCCTCGACTTAGGAAAAATAAAAGAAGGGCATCAGCAAGTACACCAATTAGAAAACCCAAGCAAAAATACAAAAATACAAAACTAAAACTGAGTATTGTAATCAGAAGGCTAGAATGAAAGCAACGACAAGAAATATAGAAATCAAGGTATACGAAAATAAATAAATAACGCTAACTCATGTATTAAAGTTACTGTTACAGACAAGGACAACGGTAGGTGACTTACCCTAACCCGTTACCTTTATTCTCAACCTCCACACCTTTCTATCCATGGTCATGTCCTCAGTGAGCTGGAGTAATGCCATATCATGTTTATTCACCCCTCTCCAATACTTATTCGGCCTACCTCTACCTCTCTTTAGGCCTTCCATGGTCAACCTCTCACACCTCCTCACCGGTGCATCTGTGAATCTCCTCTTCACATGTCCGAACTATCTAAGTCTCGCCTCTCGCATCTTGTCCTCCACAGGACCACACCCACCTTGTCCCGAATAACTTCATTTCTAATTCTATCTATCCTAGTATTCCCACACATCCATCTCAACATCCTCATTTTAGCCACCTTCATCTTTTAGGCATGGGAGTTATTGACTGGCCAACACTTCATCCCATATAACATAGTTGATCTGACCACCGCGCTTACCTTTAAATTTAGGTGGCACATTCTCATCACACAAAATACGTGAAGTGAGCCTTCATTTCATCCATCCCGCCCCAATATGATATGTAACATCCTCGTCGATCTCTCCATTCTCTTGTATAACAGACCCAAGGTATTTAAGACTCTCTTTCCCAAGGATGACTTGAGAGTCGAGCCTCACTTCTTCGTCCACAGCCTGAGTCGTACCACTGAACAAGAGTATTCTGTATTAGTCCTGCTCAACTCGAAACCTTTAGACTCCAGGATCTGCCGGCAAATCTCTAACCTCTCGTTAACACTGCATCGCATCTCATTAATCAGAACAATATCGTCTGCAAATAACATGCACCACGGCATCTCTCCTTGGATAACCTAATAATATAAATAAAAAGTTACAAGTTTATATAACTTAAACTTTTTGTTATATATATTATTTTTACTACCTTTTATTCATGTATCTATATTTTAAAGGTTTTTACACACTCATTTATAAAAATATTTAATAACCTTAAATATAAAAATATTTATCTGAACTATTCTTTATCTATCTTAAACATCACACTTAAATAAAATTCACTTCATTGAAACTGTTAGGGTGCGTTCATAAAAATAATAGTAAGTGCTTCTTTATTTCTAAAATATTGAATATTTTAGAACAAATTAGAGTTTAACCTGAAAGAGTAAGACACGCACCTATATTGTTACTCTGCGTGTGTGCATGTCATAAATATGTCGAAGGCCAAATAGATAAATGACCTTTTTAAGTTATTTACAATAACGAGATAGATATTTTAACTAAGCTGATTACTAATTAGACACGTCTTCTTGATTGAAGTGTGATCTCGTGAACCCCTCACATTGACATGATAAAATATGTGTTTTATATTCACATCTAAGCGTGTGAAGTCTTGAAAATTTAGTTCTTTTTTTTTTAAATTAACCTTACTTTATGTGGACCCCACTTACCTTCATCTTCACACTTCTCCTTCTTCAAATTTTTTCACTACTACAGAAAATAAGAACAACTAAAAAGTTTCTTCCAAATAAGCACTGACAATTTCTTCCAATACACATTGTCACAATCATTTATACAATCAACTCCAAGCATTCAAATTGCTATGGCAGCCCAAATAGCAAGCTAATATAGGAAAATTAGCACCTTAAATTTCTGGCTTTTGTCTCCTTCAATCTCAAAGTGTCGCTACCATCTCCACCATTGCTACTACCATTGCTATAAGAATTCTACCTACCTCATCCACCATTATCATAGTTGCCTCCATCAATATATAAAAAAGCATACCAAGCAAATCCGTTCACTCTATCAGCCATCCAAAAATTTCCTCTCCGACATCTTCATTGTTAACGGAAAGGAGGATCTCACATTGTCACGACCCAAAACCAACCTGTCGTGATGGCGCCTATCCTAGTACAAGCCAAGCTGACTGCTTAGACATTTCCAACACGTTAAATCTTTGAAAGATACTAAAAGCAGCTCAATTAAAGGAAAAATCATAACTTAATACATAAATCCTTTCCAAAATTGGGTATCACTGAGTACATGAGCATCTACAAAATAACGAAGTCTGGTACATTGTCTAGAAAGTAAAACTAAATAAAACAAAATGAAAGATAAGGGAGGAGAATCAAGGTTTGCGAACGCCAAGCAGCTACCTCGATAATCTCATAAGGTCTAGACTCTGCAAATCAGCAACCGCCATGGCCAGAAGCACTTGGATCTGCACACGAGGTGTAGGGTGTAGCGTGAGTACAACCAACTCAATAAGTAACAAATCCAACCTTTGGACTGAAAGTAGTGACAAGTCCAATTATTATGATCCGCTTTCAACATTTAACAGTATGGAAAGTTATAGAAAATATGACAGTGATATCTCAGAAATTCATAGTCAACAAGTGAAGGTACAAGAAATTTATACATGCTTTCAACAAAAATCTAGACATGCTTTCAAATTTTATAAAAACTAAACATATAACATGGCAGATCCATCCCGAATGCAATAAATTAGGGCAGATCCAGCCCAAATATAAATAGTTGTTAGCATTGCACCCACTATGGATGTGCGGACTTCGGAGGGGCCGATCTAGCCCAAGTGTTATAATAAGCCAAATCCTGAAATCAATCAATAAAGCCTGTTGCGGCGTGCAGGCCGATACCATAAATATTACTCATAATAGATCCTAAGTCTCACTCAATCACTAATCTTTCCAGTCTCTTGGGTTCACCAGAATCGTGTTAATCAGCCCAAACAACAATGATATGACGTAGCAAATAAGGACAACAGAGACTGAGATATATTATGCAAACAATAGTTGTGACTAAGTAGAAAATGGCAGGTTAAGCAAAATAGTCCAACATGTAACCTAAACAAGATTTTCTAGCGTGTCTAACTGCCCAATTGTTCTGTCACATAGTGGAAATACGGGTGATAGCAAGAATTTACAACTATTCAGTTCCATGGAATCGACCAAGTCCCAACTCTTACGGTGCATGCCTACCTGCTCATCACTTAGCACATGCGTCACCTCAACACCAACCACATAACACGAAATCCGGGGTCTCATACCCTCAGAACCAAGTTTAGAAGTGTTACTTACCGCAAACGGTGCAAAACCTACTCCAACAAGCCCTTGTCTCACAAAACGGCCTCCGAACGCCTCGAATCTAGCCATAAACAATTCGATACAATCAACATGAGCTAAAGGAATCAATTCCATAAGAAAATACTAAGCTCTTAATCAAAAGTCAAAATGTCAACTCAAAAGATGGCCCTCAGGCCCACGTCTCAGAATCAAGTAAAAGTCACAAAATCTAAACACACATTCAACCACGAGTCCACCCATACCAAAATTACTCAAATCGGATACCCAAAATCTCGATCAAATCCTCAAAATTTGGCCTAAGAACTTTTCTCTATTTTTCTCTAATTTTCACCCCAAATTACTAATTAAATGATGAAATCAAAGACATATATATGGAATTTAACCGAAACTAAGTAAGAA